GTTAAAGTTAGAAATCTGAAATGATTTTCCAAATATTCAACGGCCAGTGGAGCAACCTACAGTGTAGAGACTTAGAGAATGCAATTCAAGGAGAGGTGAGGGACAAGGTGGACAAATTCAGGATGGATAGGAGTGGTGCCAAGCTTTTTATTGGTAGGCCACAGAGGAGAGTGCTACAACTGATAAAATCAAGGCACAATAATATGCATAATGTGAGCAAGGACAGCACTCGTGGAATCGAGTGTAAAGATGGCCTTAGCCATCACTCCAGTCACGCCCTGATGCATTTCACCACACCCACGGGGCTTGGTCCTCTGTGACCAAGCCCTGTGGGTGGGGCAAAACGCATCAGAGGTGTGGTTGGAGCAACGGCTGAGGCCATCTTTACACTAAATTCCACAAGTGGTGAGAGCGGCCTCCTTGCTCACATCATGCTTGCAAGGCTGGAAACTATTGTGGACACCACTACCCCTATATACAGGTGAGGTGACTGTTGAGCTCCTGCTTGGAGCGGTGCCATCACGCTACAAATACCGGCTTACCACAAGAATATGCAGTATCCTTTTAGCATACAACGCTGATAATGTGTGCTAGATCGGGTCTGCTGGGCCTTCTCATAGTCAGACATACCCAGCAATGCTTTTTTTTCGGGTTCACCTATCCAAAGCCAACTAGAAAAACTTTTTAATCCAAACAGCCACAACTCCACTCCATGGCACTTTCAGGTTGCAATGCACCATATCTTGTCCTAAAGAGTTCACCCAGCACTCCTGCAGAGAGTCCTGTTCCTTGAACCATCAGTCTGGAGGTGTCATCAATTGGGGATAGCTCATTACCTCTTGCTTATGATAACACCAGTCCTAATTAAAATCTCAAAAGCATGGCACTACAAAACTGTCAAGCTCCCTTTTCATGTAGCAACATTTTGGACCATGTCTAGCCATGGGGTGGCAGTTTGCTCTTAGCTTGATAAAGGACAATACATGGCCTAAAATGTTGCTATGTGAAATGGGAGCTTGACCGTTCTGTACTGCCATGCTTTTGCAAAAAGATTTAAGAGCTTCTAATACGGACCTGTGTGTGGAGGTACTATGCTGTTGCAGGCTTAAGGTTCCTTCCTAGATGCTGAAAAAGGTTTCCTCCTGTCACTGAATAAGACCCCTTTCACATGGGCTGTTTGATCAGGTCCTCATGTCAGTTTTTTATGCAGACCTCATTTGAAGCTCCTTATAAGTCTATGAGTAGGCAGGTGTAACTTGGGCAAATGGTCATCCAGGTCTGGAATAAAATTGGAAAAAGTCTGCATTGCTTTGTGGACTTAAATATGATGGTTCAGAGATAGTCTGATATAAACAGACAGAAATCTATTTACATCTGGCCACCCATATATCTAATATGGGTCCAGTAATCTCCTGAGAAAACTGAATGGACATGAATATCACATATCCAAATCAGCAGGGGATCTGTTCATGGATTCCCTGCTGATCGGACCGAGCATGGCCCACGAGAAAGAAACCTAATGTAAAATACAGTACTTTAGCATATTACAACAGATAAAGACTTCCATAGACCAATGGATGGATGGACCAATAAACTGTGATTCTGCACCTACCGACCCCATCCACTCATCCACTTACCATACTCATGATCCAGAGTTCAAGCTGCGGGAAACCATGCACCCAAAATGCATTCCATTATTTCTCAAATAAGGTCATGACTTAAAAGCTTGCATTGGCAAGCAACAGACATAAAGATGTTATATGGTAATCATAAAATATATACCAAAGACATGTTGGCTGTTTGCAAGCTCATATTAATAACGACCCAAGTATTGTATAGTCTTCGAAACCACACAAACCTTAGCTAAATATAGATTTATTAGAGATATGAAGGAAGATTCCCAATGGAAAGGCTACGTGGTATTCAGATTTACTAGACTCATATTTTCTGTCCTGCGAGTTAAGAAGCGGCGGTAAAAAGTTTGTGTGTGGCGGGGCCGGAGGTCAGGCCCATTACTAAGATGGACATCACTGCAGTGTCAGGAGACGGACTGCATCCCGCCAGTTTGCTGCAAGGACAATCACAGTTCAATCAGCACATTTCACAATTCCAAAATCCAGGGAGGATATGGCCCTAGTGACTCGGAGAAAGAGATTGAAGCCTGGGGCTTTCCATAGACGTGAACAGATGTCTTGGGAAATGAACAAACTGTGCATCAGTCATCTATTGGTCTGGCAAAAAAACTTTGCAAACCTTAAGTAAGTCCAGAAGAGGAAACTATCTGTGTGTAACCAACATCATGCGAAAGGCCATGCCACCTGTAAGGCTCATGTGCTTGAGTATAAAAGTGCACGTTTAGGTGGGGAAGCCTAATTAAACGTGCAACAATGCACGTGCGTATGAGCATAGGAATCTGTGGGCCTAGCATGATATCATTGCTGAATGCTCTTTTAAGCCTCATTTCGTGGTATCCCTAATCCTAAACCTGGTTGACCCTGTTAGTTACCCAGCTTTGTTACCGACCTTGGCCTGGACTCTTGACCAAGACTTTGTCTATTGATTCTGTACCTTGACATCAGCAGTGCCGAACTCTTCTTATCCCTGACCTTGATCCTTCTCATCATTCTGTGCCTTCTTGCTCCACTGTTTCTGAACATGGCTTGTGTCCTGGCTCTGTTCTCCACTTGGTGTATTCTGGGTACCCTCGCCGCTGTGCTTCTACTAACTTGATGCCAGCACTTCCAAGTTCAAGTCTTCACTTCCAGCTTCCTGGCACCTGCGCCCTTCCATTGTCCTTGCAGCCCCTGTCCCAACTTTGAGAGGCACTCATGAAGGGTTGGTGGCAGTAATAACACAGAGCCCCGGGATGCACAAAAAGCAATGTATTGAGGAGCTTGTAAAACAGTTACCACATCCCGGGAATGTACATCTGGGAACTCCCAGTCATTGCAGCGGAAAGTCAGCGGTGATAGGCCCAAGCTGAAGGGAGTGCTTGCCAAGAGAAGTTGAGAGGAATGGCTGGTGTTCCCCAAGGAAAGTGTAGGTGTATACCCTACTCTTTCCCTACTGCTCTTGAACCTCTCCCTACTGCTAGTACTGTTTCTGATAGATGCGTAAGCTCTCCCTACCCTAGCCACTTTGCAAATGAGTGCCAAAACCCGAGGCAGGGACTTAAAAAGACTCTACTTGACTCAAGATGGCTGCCAGGTTCACCTGGATGCATCGTAGCCAACCAGAATGCTGCTCCAGAGGACCAAGGAAACCACAGAGAAACCAAGTTCCTTATGACTTCATACAGCTGCAATTTTGCTCTGATCCAACAGCACCTACAATGGAGGAAAACAGACTGCACCTGCCAACACTCAGATGGAAATTGTGCAAGAGGCCACCCTCAACATCTTGAGATCATCATACAGGTATGTGACATTTTGAAACTACAAGTCCCATGAGCAGGGGCGGACTGACAACTCATGGGGCCCCCAGGCAATAGGGGATCATGGGGCTCCTGTGTCCTTGCCCAAACTCAAAAAAGCCAATGAAAAAGGTACCAGGGGCATCTCATGGGGCCCCCTACTGACCCCGGGCCCTCGGGCAGTGCCCGAGTTTCTAAATGGTCAGTCCGCCCCTGCCCATGAGAGGTTACAAGACTCTGAAGGGCATAATAGTGCTTGCGGCCCTTTAAGAATGGGAACAACATAGCACTGGCATTATAGCATTGTCCCCATCTTCTTCCCATGACTAAAATATGAAATCATTTAAAGCCCCATGGAACTTTCAGTTTAAATCAGTTTTAGTTCTAACTCAGGCTCTGACGCAGGGGATGTGTCAAAGCCATTCAACCTGTCAGCAGCCCTTTCTGTGTTTTGGTGGAGTTGACCTTTAATTCAGAATGGCAGGCAATCAAAATGAGAGCAATCTTCCACCTACAGGAATTAATGGGGAGGGATACATTGCTATAAACTAACCATTTTTGTACAACCCGCATATTGTCGCATCTTGCAAAAGGCCGCCGCCGCCATTCCTATGGTCATAACACTCAGCGCTCGGTGCCATAGAAGCTTCATTTTACCAGAGAGCAATCTGGAGGAGGACAGATGCTAACAAAGCATTACGCATAAGAATCTGATTATAAAGATAATTAATCAGATTGCCTAATTGATGGTGAGCAGCACATGTACTGACATTGATCCTTATGTTTAATTAAGCACAGACGTTATTCCATTACCGCTCTACGTTCAAGGGGAAATTCTGCTAATATGGAAATGTATACAGACCTCCTGGGGCCACCTCTTCAGTCAGTGGATGAGGATTAAACAGAAGTGAGGAAAGTGGAAAGACGGTGCTGGACCAGTAAGGTTACCTTATTGGTATTACTATCCCAAAGTTGATGTTGATGTGTGTAGGCAGGTGCAGTTTGCTTTCTCCACTGCAGGTGGTGCTCAAATCGAGTGGCACCTCAACCTGGAGAGGAAGTCCAAGAGAAACAATGTTTCTCTATGGTTTACTGGGTCAATGGAGCAGCATTCTGGTTGACTACTCTGCATCCATGTGACCCTTGGCTGCCATCTTGGGTCAGCAAGGTCTGTTTAAGTCCCTGCCCCCAGGTTTTGGTGCTCTTCTGGCATGTGGATAGTGTAGGAAAAATAACTAGCGTTAGGGATAGGTTCTCGACGAAGAGGGAAAGATTAGGGATTCAATATCCTGGAGAGGAGCTTCCCTCTTGGGACAGACTGGCCAGGCTGCACATCACCCTCTGAAACAGATGCTGTCAGCACCTCTCCTCCTCTACATCTGACTACATTGAGCTGTGAGTTATTTCCCTAGCTGTGCTTTCACACCTAGTTGTTTGTAATGTTGGCATTCTGTTTAACCTCCCTGGCGGTATTCCCGAGTGTAGCTCGGGGTAAAGTTTCAGTACCAGAAGCGGTAACCCCGAGCTACACTCGGGCTTACCATGCAGCGTTGCTCCGGGATCTCTTCTTCACTTACCTTGTCCTGCGCTCCCGCGATGTCCCTCCTGCAGTGTCCCCGGCCGATGCCGGCATCCGCCTTCTGGGTTCCGTTCCCTGCGAGCGTCAGGGCGTACGGGGGACGGAACGGCAGGAAATTCAATAATGTGAAATAGTGACATTCACTAAAATCACATAGTAAAACATTACTGTATCAAACCATTTCACATACATTTTGTCCCGAGTGCTTTGTCCTGTGCCCTGCCTGCATTTTTACTGTTCTTTCTGCCTGGAAACTGAGAAAAGTCCATGGCGTCCAAAAAGTGTCCCTTTAGGTCAAAAGCGGTTTTAGACCAGCTAGAGAACAGCGATAGTAAATCAGAACCACTTGCAAAATTGGGTGATAATGATTCGTGGGGGAAATTCGTCATCAGACACTGAAAACGATTCTGCGACTTTGCTCAGTGATGTGTGAACTTGGCGCTCTATTTCAAATTTCAGTGTTTTTGGTTTGATTATATTATTGAATTAAATTTATTATTATATTATTATTTTTTATGATTATTTATTAAATTATAATTTATGATTTTGTGTTTCAAATTTTATCATACCCGGAATGTTTACTAGACTCTTGTTCGGACAGATTTCAGTGAGTTATTCCTAAAAATTACAGGCCTACAATAAAAAAAATACATATTTCCAGGCAAAAAAATGTACCGCTTTGAGCACAGAAATACCGACATAATCAGACCGCTAGGGAGGTTACTACAAATTCCAAGTTTTACTGCAATTGGACTCTGAAGATCTGGTTTCCAGACAGGCAGCATCTACACCCCACAGAAACTTTTAGTGTAATGTAAAAAAGATGGAAAGTAAAGTGCCACACCACTGCTAAGAGGTTCAGATACATCTTTATTCAAAAACAAAAAAGTTAGGAGGACAATCCAAAGAGTACTAATGTATTTCAGGGGTCCAAAAACACCCTCGTCTCCAGGGCTAGAGAAAAAATACAAGGGCATCCCCATATCAATACAATATTAAAAGAATATTTCCTCCTAAGCATCATCTTTCAACCCAAATACTCATTAGCCCGTTGCCAGGTTTTGTAACGGGTAACTCTGTGGACTCTTGTGTAAAAGGTAAGGAGGGGGGCTCTGGTGACTAGAGACATCCTTAGATCAGAATTTTCCTTTACATAAGTGTCCGCTGCACCCCCCCCCCCCCCATCAGAATCCCCAGAGTTCTCCTTTACATCAGAGCCCACACTGTTCCCTTTTATATCAGGGTCTGTAGAGTTCCCTCTTGTACTCTAAAGGGGAACTTTCTGCTGGGTAATATTAACCTGACCTTCATGTAAAATGAGAAATATATTTTTTGCCTTTTGTTATACCTTAAACACATTGCTAATTGGACGAGCTACATGTTTGGAGCTTAAATATTGAAATTTGTACTGTTTTGCACTGTCATTTTCTGTACTTTTTTTGAAGTGTCTGTAAAAAAAATGTGTCTCTGTCAGTAAATTTCATGATTTTAGTCAGTAAAAAAATTGGTGCTGTCAGTACATTTTTGGCATCCTGTTAGTAAATTTCACTTTGGGATGTTGGCAATACCGCAAGGGGGAGAACAAGCCTCCTATGTGATAGCTGTTTGTAGGTGACAGGTACTCTTTATGGAGACATCAGGGATCTATTAGACCCCTGATGTTTCTCCTGCCCACCAACGTGTCTGGTTAGCTGCTTCCCTGGCTGTACTAGCCAGAGCATGAAACCTCTGAAACCAGAAGTGACAAAATACTGGTTGACTCCGGCTTCATTCAGGGGAGATTTGGGAACGGATGTTCCTCCATCTCCTCTGTGGGAAGCCATCTTGACTTCTTAGTGCGGTTGAGGACTCCCAGGAGAAACGGAAGAGTCCAGGAACCACTATGGAGGGGAGAACAGGAGGGGCACCTTCCCATCACTGTATATATGATTGGGCAGCTGTAAAGCCACATTAGTTAAAGATAGTTATTAAGAGGTCGTACAATAAATTACCGTATCACCCAGTAAATGGTCTCCATTCAGTAGCCAAAAAAGGCATGTAAAAAAAGAGGGGTTGTGAAAAGAAATTCACAAAGAAAGCGGCTACATAATGAACAGAATGTGATACTCAGAAAAATTTCCAAAAATTATGCTTTATTACACATACAAATTTGACATATGGGCAATCGCCCTGGTTTACCATCACCTCAGTATGAGACAATACACACAGACCTAAAACCATATAAAATGACACCAGAACCGGTCTAAATGCATGTGCAACAAGGACAATGACTACAAGAGTCTAAAGTCCCTGTAGCACAAGCGCATAGGTGGACACTTCCCAAAGGAGGTGTATACAAAAATTATACCATAGGTATACCATGACACGTGTTTATAAATGTGTAGACTAAGCTACTACCAGAATGGTTATATCCCAAACAGGGAATTTCAAAAAATTATACCATAGATATAAATATCACATGTATGCAATGCAGTGAGCACAGTATGCGTCAAAAAGAAGGCATGCCTCTAGGCCTATATGAGACAAAACAAAAATGTCATGTAAATGATGCAACACAAGTGGTTGGGGCCCATTCATCTGTGATTATTACCAGCTGTTTCCTAGGGCTCTTGAATAAAGATATGCCCCATTTTTTACCGGGATGGAAGGATAGATGCATAAAGCAGCGCACTGCTTGAAATGGTTTCTTCACCACTGCATGTGGACTAGATACCACTTTCTGTGAGAAAATCAAGACACATCCCAATAGATCTTCTGCCTGTTGAAATACATGTGGTATATCTTGTTTCTTATACAAAGCACCATGATGTCCCCATCCACCTGTGCAATGAATAATAGGAGAGGAAAGAATATCCTTCATAGGTGCTGCCATACAAGGCCGGGGAGGCCAAGGACATCCGCCGATATACCGCGGGTTCCAGCCTCTTCTCGGCGCCTGTGCTGCCTAGACTTGCCTCATGGCATGTGAAAATGGCTTCCTCCTTGTGGGTCAGCGTGCGTTCCACCTAATGCGCATGACCGGAAGTGACGTATCTGACGTATGACGTCAACGCGTTTCGCCGATGGGCGTATCTCACTCAGCTTCGTCAGGACCAATGAGACAACTGCATTTCAATTTCCTATTTATAGTGGGTTAAAACCCACCCATTTATGCAAAAATTAGCTTGCAGCTATTCCCAATGGAGAAAAAAAAAGGGGGCTAAATACTTAGCACAGCTGCTGGTCATTATTGAATACAATTAAAAAGCAGGCGACTGGAAGTATCAGAGAAAGGAAAGGCTTAGCAATTTTAACAATATATATATAAATCGAAAGACCATAGATTAAAAATGATAATCAGTTGAGACATTACCACATTCTCACCAGAAAATGGCAATATTAGTGAAAGAATTACCAGACCTATTCATTAAATCAAGTTCCTAAAAGTACAATATAAGTTACCACAAAGCCACCACAAGATGGCAATATAGACTAGGGGATCTCATTATGAATTATTTTATCAAAGATACCCAGATTTCAAATACCCATTTATGGTATAGTCATTCTTGGAGAAAATATACTCAAACTTATGTCATGAGATCATCAATATTGTTCCCCAATGCGAAAAAAGATGAACCTTAATTATTTAGCATATACTCCAACTATTGGTGAAAACAGGGAAATGCCATAGGTTAGTCAACATATGGAAATATAAGGGTACATAACGATGTAAATCTATTTATCCAAAAATACTTGGAGATCACATTCCACATTTAACCCCTTAGGGTATAATGTATCAAGCTTATATATCCAATATTTCTCCTTTTTAAGCAATTCTCTGTCAAAATCACCTCTCCTTTGTGGAAAGTGCAATGCATAGAAACCTTTCACTTTTGTGCCATCCAGTTTACCTCCATGATATTTAGCATAATGTTGTGCGAGATTGCTTTCAGGGTCATTTGATCTAATATCTCTAAGATGTTCACCTATTCGTACTTTAAGTTGTCTTTTGGTCTTACCTATATACATCTTTTTACAGGGACAGGTTAAAATATATAACACTCTCACTGTAGAACAATTTATGAGACTTTGAATTTTATAGTGAGTGTTGTTTCCTGAATCAGAAAAAGAATCCGTACGATCCACATATTTACAGATTTGACATTTTCCACATTTAAACATCCCCTTAGTACGTGATTTTAACCATGTTATTTGTTTTAACGGTTGATAATCAGAATGGATAAGGAGATCACCAAGATTTGGTGCTCTTCTTGCTACCATCTGGGGGCGTTCACCTACAATCTTATTCAATTTGGGACATTGAGTTAAAATTTTCCAATGTTTTTCTAATATTAATTTTACATCTTGCCATTGGGCTCCAAATTGAGTTATCATTCTGACAGGTTGATCACTCAATTTGGCCTGCTCATCCTTTTTAGGAGATAATAGATCCTTGCGGTCAGTTTGATATGCCCGTCTTCGAGCCTTTCTAATTTGAGAGTGAGAGTATCCCCTTTCCCTAAATCTTCTATAGAGGTCCTGAGCCTCCATCCTAAAGTCATTGATGTTTGAACAATTTCTCCGACGTGGGTGGTGGTAGCTCCTAGCCTCTAATAGGGTATTGGCAGCAGTTGGTTTCCTATATGTCTTTGTGAGGAGTCTTCCATTCTCAAGTCTAATTTCCAGGTCCAGAAAAGAAATACATCTTTCATCAGATATATATGTAAGTCCAATGTTGAAGGAGTTTTGATTTAACTCCTCCATAAAAAGTTTTAATTCCTCAGATGTTCCTCGCCATACAAGGAACACATCATCTATATATCTTAACCAAATCTGGACATTAACAAGAAATCTTGATGATCTGAAAACAACCTGCTCCTCCCAGAAACCTAAATGAAGGCATGCGTAGGCCGGAGCCCACGGTGCTCCCATGCTAGTACCTCTAGTCTGTTGATAAAAGGTATTGTTAAATTGAAAAAAGTTATGTCGTAATGCAAAATCCAACAACTCACTAATAAATTCATTCTGTCCTCCCAAAGTAGGATATGTTTTATCAAGAAAGTAAGAGGCCGATCTCATACCACATTCATGTGGGATAGAAGTGTAAAGTGATTCCACATCTATTCCCACTAGAATGGAATTTTCATTAATAGTCATATTCTCAATCTTAGCCAACACATCTTTAGTATCCCTTACATAGGAGGAGAGATTAGGGACCATATCCTTAAGAAACAGATCTATATATTTCCCTGTTTTATCTAGGGGACCATTGATGGCAGAAACAATAGGTCTACCCGGAGGATTTTCTTGATTTTTGTGTATTTTGGGGATAATATAAAAAGTAGGGTGATTAAATTCTTCAGTTCTCAGATACTCA